CGCACGCCGATCCTCTCCAATGAATTATCGAGCCTTCCAGACCGTGGAACGCCGCACTGCGCGCTCCTGCCTGCCGCTGACCGCCCGCAGGAAAAAACCTCGAGACAGGGGTCCCGCGATATTGGCCCGACCTTACTTTTCGGCCGGTTCAGGATTCGCCGCGCGCCGCGGCCCCTATACGTGGGAACTGCGTCCGGATCCACCGGCTACCGTAATTACAACCCACCGGCCGTATTCAACCTGCAACCGATTTCCACGTGTACCGTGACACACGCGAGAACACGTGGAAACTAACGAGCCACGAGTTGGACTAAATCGAGCGAGAAAAAAGCCGACCGTTCGGTGAAACGTCTTCTTGCGCCTTAGCGTGGAAACGAGGTTCTGCTTCGTTGAACCGTTGCGTGTTTCATTGACCATGCTGTGCTATCTTGATCGGGTTCGTGAACACGTATTAACGAGATGCGCGAAGGTTATATTTAGGATCGTGCGGAATGCGTGTTTAGATAAACGTTTGCATGGCCGTATCTTGATGCTTGAGATTGGCTATAAGTTATAGCCTAATGCTTTCCATTTCCAGAGAAATAGCGGTCGCTGGATGAAGTTACGAGTATTTGGTAGCCACAGAGTGGAAAAATGAAAATCGCGGCAGAATATTGAAAACATCGATGGTCTTTACCAATATGCTGAATATTTATACATTCGCTGCTGTTAAAATACGACTACCTAACCGTCAAGTAGCGTTCCTTCTTTCGTGAGAGATATACTTGTTCCGTGCAACAACGTTTACTTCAATGGCCTGTCCGTTGCTTTCTTCGTTTCTTCAAGTTATTTCGTCGAGATTCTTAAAACGTCGGTACAGTGCACACGTAAATAGGAAGAACAATCGTTTCCCGAACTTCGGATCGTACGAATACGTTCGAAACGAGTATCCCAAGCGCATCTTGTGTCGTACAGGGTACAGGAAATAAAGATTGCGCAGTAACGCAAGAATTAAAAAAGAAAACTCACCTCGTCAAGGGCCATGGAGAAGGCGCCGGAAATGGCAAGACCCTGACGATCTTTCAGACCGCCTTTGATGGCTGTGAGGTATCCAATGGTAAGATTTTGTTGTTTTCTCGGTTGTATAGACCTGGTGGAAGTTGATTTGGGATACGTATGCCTGGAGAACGCCTGCTGCCACTCGGCCCCGGGTAACCCTGGCGGCTCGGCCAGGCCCAGGACCAGAGGGCTGCCGGCCAGCAGCAGCAGCAACACCAGCAGGGCCCGTGAGCTGTTCCCGTATGAACGTGGCTGCAGCGGTTGCGGCTGATC